ACTTTGAAAAGACCTTATGGGACCACACAGGAGCGGCACGCATTTTCGTTTTCACGTGAGGAACTAAAATATTAACAGTAAGTTAATCGGTTTCAGTTCATCAGCACTTTTAGAATTTGCCATGCAAGAAAACCAAATAAATGAGCTGAGTGGACATGCCTGTCATGATAATATTTAAGGCCAAATTTATTATTATAATAATACAGAGTAAGTAAGTAAGTAATTTGACACATAACACATGCACATTAATAACTACATTTTCAGTTCTCTGACCTCAGTTTTCGTCACCTTTTATAAAGTAGTAGTATGATTAATGAGGAGCAGAAAGAGATTAGCTTTCTAAACATGCAGGATGATGACTCAGAGAAGATACAGGACAGAGCCAAACTTTCAGCACTGTGCATTCACTCACAGTTACGCACTCACTCTGAAAAGAAAAAGCATAATCTCATTCCCAAGAAATTCCCAACTATCACAAATCCCACAAACAAATTCAGAAGTTTTTTTTATATGATTTTTGGGGTTTTTTTGTTTTTTTGTTTGTCTGTTTTTTTGCGTTTTCTCATAAATTTCAGTAGGCAATCGCGTTTGTATGATTCATTTAAATGTTCAGAAATAATGCACTGTGAAAGGTAAAATACTATAAACACACATATGCGATAAGGCCAGCTGTTACAATACATGTATTCAAGTCTTTTAGTTCTATAACCGACACTGACCCTTTTTAATAAATCCAGGTAGCTTTTTGAGGCGAAGAAAGGATTTTGTTAAGGCATTTGGTGCTAGTGTTTTGTTTTGTTTTGTTTTGTTTTAGTTAACTTTTAGGGATGCAAAGAACAGGATCAAGTGAGTTTCAACAAAACAAAGCAGCTTATTAAAAAAAAGTCTCCGGTGTTTCAAAGTAAGCAGTGATGGTGACTTGCTTTTACGCAACTACCTAGAAACCAGGAAATCAATTCAATTTATTTTGCGCAAAATCACAACAGCAGTCGCCTTTAGGCTTTATATTGTAAGGCAGATACCAACATTAATCCTTTTCTTGTCTGAAGACGTATTCCTTTGCTTGTTGTTCATCATCACAGTCAGAGAGAGAGCGCGACATCTTCTTGTTTCCATGATTATTCCTCCCACACACTTTTGTGTGATTTGGGGATGCTCAGTCATATAATAAAAATAATACATTTTAGATTATCTGGACTCCTGGGACAGTGTGTGTGACAGTCCAACAGGATTGACTTTGCTTTATCAGCTTTATTTCTGAAGCACTTTTTAAAGCAAATGTAAAACGTTTTTTAAAAACATAAAACTGATATTATTCTGTTTAGATATATTATTTTAACTAAAACTGTTGTAGGTCAAAATAAGTACAATGAAAATTAAAAACCACTCAAACTGAAAAAGGCATTAGCAGTGATAAAAAGGCAAACAATTCAAATATGTAGAGAAGAAAGAAGAAGAAATTTGAAAGAACTCACAAAATATGCACACATAAAATACCCAGGCCGGACAGTCCAATGCGTCTCGCTGACGTTGAGCAGCAGGTCCATGGTCCCGTACATTTTTACTACACATAGCTTGTGTTTGTTTGATTATTTCTTTGTTGCAGCTGTTTGCTTGTCAAACAGTGTGAGTAGTTTGTTGGTGCAGCAGCATATTAAATGGGATTTTAGTAATCTGGGACAGGCTCCAGCCTCCCCCGGGTACCCTGAATTAGTCACAAAGAAGAGAATGGATAAATGGATGGATTTTAATCCGTTTATGAGGATGTGTGTTTAACAGACTTCTCTCTTTTGTTCCCTGTTTGTAGACATCATAGCTGACTTTATGTTACTGTTTAAGTAAAAGGATATAGAGGCTTCAGTTAAGACACCACAAGAGTCAGTGTAGGTCAGGCAACTTGATTAAGATTTACTGAAACTATGAAAAAAAGGAAGAAGTCATAACTTCAGCTGCTGGCAGCAAACCAACCTCTCCTGGGACACTAGGAGTATTCTGTTAGCAAACAAACTATGAAAGCTACAACAAACACCACACTAAATGAACATACTAACAAATTATGTTAATGCAAATATTGAGAGAACTCCCTGTATATCCACCAAACCTGTGGCCAGAGGCCAGCCATGCGCTCGCTGCAGGACTAGAAACAAAAAGGACAGAATGACAGTTATGCAAAATTCACCTAACAAACAGATAAACAAATGATACTGCAAATGAAAGCGAAAACATCCTAGAATAAGCAACAGTCTGTGCTCCACTAGGCAAAAGTGTAAATTAGGCCAAACCAAAAGAGAAATGAAACAGTCCAGGACAGTGGAGGGAAGCTGCTGATCAAAACTAAAATAATGATTATTGTTATTATTATTTACTTATCTGAGATTGTCACAAAAACTAAAAATGATTTAATGTGACTGTGTCATCAAATAAAAATTTATTAAGCTAAAAGATACAACTAAGACTACAACTCCCAGACTACAAGGCGGCTGTGTTTGGTGCTACCACCAAATAGGTATTTCCTGTTCCTGCCAATGTTATCGCATAAGTGCTACTGTGTTATTCAACAACTCGTTTTAGCTGCTGTCACTTTCTGCTGCTGCTGACTTCACTGACTGTAACTACCGCTGTAAGTCCCTAATAAGGTAAACTAACTGTCAAGCTAAATGTTTAAACGTGTGTAAAAAGAAAGTGTTGTTAATGCTTCTTCCTTCTTACATATTCGAGGTTTTTTTTTCGAAATTAAAACTTAAAAACTGTATAATAAAAGTATTATAAGTTAGTAAGCGGGTAGTTTTCTCGCTATCTTTTATTTGTCGTGGAAAAACAAACAAACAAAAAACCATCGTGTCAAAAAGTGTGTTTATTTAACGTCTGCTTGCAGATGATGAGGCTGCCATGGCGGGTCCTGGCTCCGCACACAGCACCTGTAAGGAGAGCCTCCTCAGTCCCTGCAGGGCTGATGAACTTTGTCCCCGCCTGCAGCACCACCGACGCCCACTCACTGGAGCTGCTGCAGGACTTTGTGACCCGAGCCAGACGCCTGTTTGTCATGACCGGAGCGGGTCTGTCCACGGAGTCGGGCATCCCCGATTACCGATCAGAGGGCGTCGGGCTGTACGCCCGCACTGACAGACGACCCATGCAGTACGCAGAGTTTGTCCGCAGCGCAAAGTCCCGTCAGCGCTACTGGGCCAGAAACTTTGTCGGATGGCCGCAGTTTTCCTCCCACTGGCCGAACTCTGCACACAAGGCCCTGCAGCGGTGGGAGGAGAGGGGCAAGCTGCACTGGCTGGTTACGCAGAATGTAGATGCTCTTCACTCAAAGGCAGGTCAGAAGAGACTCACAGAGCTCCACGGCTGTGCCCACAGGTGAGAACGCATAAACTCACATATGCATCATAGACAATAAGCATCAATTAAGAAGTTATGGCAGTGTTACAAAAATACAATACAATGTACTGTATAAATACTACTTATTTATGAGTAAAAGCCACGCACTGAGAATGCCTCGTAGGTAAAAGTTTCCAGGTGTCATTGGCAAAATGTTGGATTACTTTAGTGATGTTTTCATGTGCAATCACCACTATATTCTACAGTTCTGTGAAAAGCATTTACCCCCTTCCTGAAAAATGGACTTCACTGCCACTAATCGAGTCAATATATCATGCCACGATCCAAAGAAACTCAAGAACAGCTGAGAAACAGTCACTGACATCGATCAGTCTGTAAAGACATTGGTTTGGTGACAGTAATTAAAACACACACCCTCTGCATCACCAGGAGTTATTAGGAAATGCTGTCTGTTTGCATGTTAACTGACTAGAAGACATTTTGAGGATAAAATCTGGGCGTCCTCAGGGTCACGTGCCTTGGCTGTGGTGCCATCTCAGCACGGGAGGAGCTCCAGAGGCGATTTATATCTTTAAACCCAGAGTGGCAAGCTCAGGCAGGCACTGTGGCCCCAGACGGAGACGTCTTCTTGGAGGATGAGCAGGTCCTCCATTTCAGAGTTCCCTCCTGTGATGACTGTGGCGGGATACTGAAGCCTGAGGTCACGTTTTTTGGAGACTCCGTGAACAAAGCAACTGTGCAGTTTGTGCACGAAAGGCTGGCAGAGTCGGACGCGGTGCTCGTCATGGGGTCATCTTTACAGGTGGGTCTTGGATAAACTAGTAAACCAGTTTGTTAGCTTTCAGCACACTGTTCCTTAACTGAATACGTTGTTCCTCATTGATGTTTCTCAGGTGTACTCAGGATACAGGTTTTTACTGGCAGCGAGAGACAGGGAGATGCCGGTCGCCATCCTGAACATAGGGCCCACCCGAGCAGACCACCTGGCAGAGCTGAAAGTCAGCGGCCGCTGCGGGGAAGTGCTGTCAGTCATTCAGCTGCTCTGACTTACCGCAGCCTAAAAAGCTTGAAGAGCTCTGCTGGTTAGGTTAAAACTACCTCAGATTTATGGAAACAGTTGCTCTCCGTTGTTACACGCTGTATGCAGGTGAATGAATGTTAATAATTGTGAGCTATAAATGTGTCAGACTTGAATCCAGCTGATCTTCATACAGCAGGTTGGTGTCAGGGAGCTGAAATCCTGTCTCTGCAATCAAATGTCAACCTACCAGGAAAACAGAAAGTCTGTGCTTTGTTGTGTGATTGCTGGTTTTAGGTTGCCACAATAATGGCATGCAGGTCAAATGTGTGAAGTGAAATAATAATTTGCAGGCTTGAAGGAAAACAGAGGTACCCCATTTCCTTCCTCAAGCTCTTTTCACTTTATAGATGGACTGTATTCATGCAGAATGTCTTTTCAAGTCTTATCAAACACACAAAGCACCATCACTATATACTGACGACACCTTTGGATTCAAACGCTCTTATTCTGATAAGACAAAAAGACACAGGGTGGCTGCTCTGATGTAGATGGGAAGATGCAATATAAATGTTTATTTTCATGTTCTGCCACCAGGTCTGTTTTAAAAGGTGCAATTTGTTCTTCTTCCTTTTTTTTATTATGCAATACTCAGATGGTTAGTATTTTGATTGATTTTAAATGCTGCCGTATTCAATTTGGCAGCATTTCCATTTTTTGTAAATTGCAGTTTAAAGTAGGTTGAATTAAACTTTTTCAGGCTGGACTTTAAAGTGGCATTATGCTGTGGTTTTAAGGTTATGTAGTGGAAACTTTCTGTAATAAAATATTCAGAAAATAAGAGTTTTTGGAATTTATTATCACACTTGCAACCCGGAAATATTCATCATTAAAGAAGTTTCAAACCTTGGTGTATCAAACATGAGGGCCAGAATCAGATAACAAAGATTCCGATCCGGCCCACTGCATGACTTTTGAAAACACAAAGGGCATACAACTTTGGACTGAATGTATTTTCATAGGTTTTCATGCTAATAAAGAGCTCCCTCATGGCTATTCATACTACACCAAAGCAGTTAAGCCGTAGATAACAATGAAATTACAGAAAAGTTCTTGTATAATACAGAAATGTCTGTCTTTTATAATGTGTGCATCGTAAGAAAAAAACATCTGAATTAAAAAACACTTTCTCTTTTCTAATTACAAGTTATTCTGAGTAATGGGCTACTGGAGCTTTCTCTGTAACATTTCTCTTTCAAATTAAGCCTGAAGAGATGTGCTGACATATTCTTCCATTAACTACAGCAGCATTTCTGTATCTGTGGAAAAACTGAGATATGCTGTAGAACTCGCGCTGCTTTTTCTGATATTAACATGTCTCAGAGATTAAATGTGTAGTTAAACTTTACACTGACTGAAAGTGGAGTTTCACTGTTGCGGTCCGCTGAAGCTCAGAGGGTGATTTATGTATGTAACATCTTTCTCTCACACTAGTCTCAACCTGAATTATGTATTGTCAGGTCATGTTGCATTATAGTCGCTATTTTCATGAGTGAGGTCAATGACAATATAGTTTATCAGTTAAAACGTTCTGATGACAACGTTTTTCCTCATGAATTTAAACACTTGAAACAGCATTATCTATACAAGGACGCAAACACACAAGCTGAAGAACAACATGCCACACACACCAATAACCCAACGGCTGTTTTGACAGTGTTTATTACGGTCATAAATAATCAAAAATAATCCACAGCATTTGCTTTAAAGACAAACTTACATCATGTTCACAGACAAACTGAGGGCAGTGTGACTATAGATTGATTAATCGTGAGATCTTTTAGGAGGTTTTGCTGCTCAAATCTCTGCTGCAGACGGAGCTTCCAGGTTTCCAGGTTAGACTTTATCTCCTCTTGGAGAGCAGCTGGGACACTGAAGGAATACAGACAACATCTGTGAGCTGCAGTATCCGGCTGCCATGTTGCTGAAGCCGTAACCACCGTGAGGGGAGTCATGGACAGACAGTTGTCGAAACTCTTAGTGTGATCAAACCAGTAAGTGACGGGGTAACCCAGTAAGAGCCCAAACACAGTGCACAGGTTCCACTCCTCACATTTCTCTCCGCCACTGAGAAGCCTCTCAACCTCGTCAAGCTGCTGCACCCCTTCCAGTAGAAGTAGTAAATCTTGTATCATGCGCTTCAGGTCTCCCCTCAGTGGGTCAGCGATGGTGGGAGTCTCCTGTGAGTGGCAGACATCAATCACAGCCACGTTGCTCCCGTCACAAAGAACCTGCTCTAGATTTGACTTGACTGTGACCGGATTAACAATGAGACCATTTCCATTTAAATCAAGCGTGAGAAGCGATTTAGACACAAGCTGGAGAGACTGTAAAGAGCTCAGATAGTGTTTCACTTGCTCTGCGCAGGCACCGTTAATATCGTACAGAACAGCAGGCTTCAACCCCAAATCTACAGCTGACACCTGTGAAGCCAGGTCCAGACTTTGAGGAGCAGAGAGGGACTTTCTACCAGCAGACAGATATTTACGAGCAGCAGCAACAAAGAGCTCTGAAACAGACATGACTGCATAAAAATCATGTCACACGAGACTGAGGAGTCAAGCAGCAGGACTAGAGATATTTCTATTTAAAGTAACTGCTTAGCTGGGAATCAAACACAAAAATTAAATGTTTGTTTAAAGGTAATCTACACTTACAAGAAAGATTAAAAAAAAACTAACAAATGGTCAAAAAAAAAAATAGCAAATGGTCTAACACAAGTAAACAAGACAAAAGTTTTCAAACTAAAACACGTCATAAAAACGGTTTCATGAGTTTATTTGTGTCCACTGTTTCTTCTTTGTTGGTCCAAGATGCCTAAAGGAGAAGAAACGTGTCAGTCAGAATAATCTGTAGAAAAACAGAAGTTATTCCGTGATAAATGCTTTCTGCTTTTGTTCATTAGAGGTGTGCACACAGATCACACCTCTCTCCAGCTCTAGTAAAGAAGATGACCTCACCATCATCCTGGTTGTGATGTATTTGGGTCACGCTATGTCACTGGCTGAGGAGACATCAGGTCAAAATCTGACAGATTTCTTGCAACCCAAACACCAGCTGCAAACAAGCCCAAATTCACCAGAAGATTCCTTAAAAAAAAGAAAAGAAAAAAGGTTTAAACAATCAGTGATGCTATCAACAGCAACAATACCCTATTCAACCCTGTGGCTACAGGTTGTGCTGTGAGGGGAAACTGATCAAACATAAATTTATAAGACAACAGGTACCTATAACCTCACCCATCTATTAATTTATATTCTTCTCTTTATCCATAGCTAGGTCCTGGAGGCAGCAGCCTAAGCAGAGAAGCTCAGACTTCCCTCAGAGCTCCCTTCCCAACCACCTGCTCCGGGTGAGATGCCAAGGCTTTCCCAGGTCAGCTGAGCAATATAACCTTTCGAGCATGTCTTGGGTCTACCCCACAGCTACAGAGGCTGGCTATTTTTTTTTTTAAATAAATATATGAATATATAAATATATCTTATAGGCTTAACATCATACCTAGTATATCCGGTACATGGCATTTACCTTAATCCTTGGGGAGCCAGTATTTTGGCATATTTGGTACACAGATGTTGAGAATTTTCTACCTCTGACAGATATGAACCATATATTTAAGAAAAACAAAAAAAACATCGCATGCTAATATGCAAACAATAGTAGGATCTTCCTAAATTCCGGTGTCCAGGTAATCCTACATAGCTTACAATGTGCTGCTGGGATCCAACTGTCTGAACATATTGGCCACTAAACATTGATTAACTAGCTACCCGTCATACTGTATACATTAAGCTTCCTGAAGCCCTTAGAGTAGAGACTAGACTCTCCCTAAAGTTTGACAAAGTGGTTAATCGATGAGATTAGCCCATTTCTTCTGTTCGTTGATAAACAAACTAAAAATAACTATTATGGTGCTAATATTATCATACAACTCCATTAAACTGATAATCATAATTGTAATTTTATTGTCTGTTTCTGTACTTATAGTGTAGCCTAGTGAGTGAGAGGACAAGGACAGATTCCCTCATTGGCACACCAGTGCTAACGCTAGCAACACGGCTAACCGCCCCCAAAACCCTCTTACTATCACTGCTGTCTGCTCTGTCTTACCTTCTGAAGTCGTTTCTATCTGTTGCAAACCGACAGGCCGAGCTGATCCACTCCACCACACCGGAGGAAGAGCCCTTTTTAGCGTTTGCCCCACTCATGTTGCTAACGTGCGTGCTGGGGGTAGAAAAAGACAACGGCAACGAGGGCGAAGAGTCAAGGGGGAAGGTTTTAGATGTTACACAACTACGGCGTGCGATAAAGCTCAAACCCAAACAAACGTCCTCCTCGCTCCACTCAGGACGTGCTGTTACACGACCAAAGATGTCGGCGACCAGGTACCGTCGGTTTCTGAAGCTGTGTGAGGAATGGCCCAAAGACGAGACCAAGAAAGGCCGCGACTTGGGGACCTTTCTGCGGCAGAGAGTCGCCTCTGCCTTCCGAGAAGGTGAAAATACTCAGGTAATGAATTTTAGCTGGTAGCAACACACGGACTCCCCTCTGCTGTAAACAACCGAAAGAAGCTAAGAGGACAGCTTAGTTAAAAGAGCAAGCAGCTGACAACCTAATCCAAAGCAGATTTCTGCGAACTACAAGCGAGTGACTAGTATTGAGATGTTTGAGGCACTAATGTCCATAAGTCCACCGCTGGTTTTGCAGCCGGGTCCATCTGAAATCATCCAATGAAAATTTTCTACTCAACCACCTCTGATTTAAAATTTGGACATTTATAATCATTGCTGTGAAATTTTAGCTTCATATATCAACAGATATATAAACTTGATGGAATGGGGTAAGTGGAACACCTTTCACAAATATATCTTGAAAGGTATTTGATGTATAAAGCTAAAATTTCACAGCAGTCATTATAAATGGCCGAATTTCAAGCCGTAAAAATATTTGGGGTAAATGAGTGATAGTCGAACAGAAGATCCACAATGATTTGAGATGGAACGACCCAGCTTTGATGCGTTTTTTTTAAAATAAATCTTGAAAATAAAATAACTATCTGCGTTTGCAACCAAGTAAACAGCCTTTAATCTGTTTCTAAAACATGAAGTTTCTGAGAAGCAAACCATTTGAGCACTGTAAACCATAACATGTAAAAAATATATCTTGCCAAAACAGCTGGGATAGGCTCCAGCCCACTACCAACTCTGAACTGGATAAGTAGTAACGAAAAGGAATGGAAAAAGATGGTTTTTGATAATCATAGGTGTTTGATGCCAGCAGAATCTTAGGTGCCAATAAAACCCTAGTTTATAAATAAAGGTTACACTAACTCGCTGCACCACCTTGTGGTACAAATTGGCATTACACTGATGTTTTACCCTGGCTCTAGTTGAATTTCACCTGCCATCTCTTAAACACAGTACAAGCATTATTTTGCCTTTTGATTCTGTACTGTGTGTGATCTGACCAATAAGAATCAGATTTAAAAAATGTAACCCATAGACACAAGAGAGACGTCGGCATAGTGATTATTTATTTTTATGATGGCATAGTAGAGCACAAGTGCACATAGCATGGCAGTGCATCACACATCCTCGTGTCTTTTTCACAGAAACCAAAATGACCTGTTTGGACTTTAAAGGTTTTTTTTCCATTTAAAACATATTAAGTGAGTAAAATCACATCTTAACCACTTCAATGTTTCCCCATTAGATCTCAGATCCTGAGAAATGTGATCAGATGTACGAAAGTCTGGCACAGATTAACGGCAACATATACAGACAGCGGGTAAGTACACATGCGCACATGTGAGGTGCATTTCAACTTCATTATATCATCATACATACCATTCTTTAAGATTGTAAAGGTGTAGTTACTTTTTTTTTCCTGTGTGGAGATAATAAAGTGTGTTTACAGTTAGTACAAAGGTCTAAACAAACACACAAGGTTAATGGTTAAAAATTGTTAACCTTTAAATTTGAACCATAAAGACAGCAAGAGTTCACGTAAGATCCAGAGATCAGCAGATGTCTGTTTTGCTCCTCTGAATTACTCAGCTGTAAATAGGGAAGTTTTACTTAATATAAAAAAGATTTTAGTAGGAAGACTATTAATTTGTCACATTGCTGTAAGGGAAAATTTTTCCTTGTGCATGTGAAATGCAGAAAATGGAAGCTGACTTCTTCAAATACTGTGCACACTCCAAATTATTTGAGTACATAAATAAACTTGTATATAATATTTGACTTTTTTCATTTGGAAAGAAATTTCTGTGTAAAAACTTGTCGAAGGCTACAATAATTTTTTCTTTCTCTCTTCAGTTTCCTCGTGTGAGAGACACAAGCTTCACTGGAGTCACAGTGGAAGAGTGTAGGTTGCTTTTGTCAGGTATGGACTCGCATGTGCTGTCAATTCTCGGTTATTTACTAAACATAATGTTGTGATGAGGCCCCGGGAACTTGCTGTAACTTAGACCCGACTTTTAAATTTTACAGGAACTATGCAAAATACGGACGAGGAAAAAAAGGGTCTGTGGAAGTCGCTAATGCAGAGATTCTCTTCTAAATCACCAGAAGACATCCCAGAGAAACCTGCTGAAAAATAACTTTTTCTCCCAATCTTCTTTTCCTATATGTATAGAAATAAAATCTTATTGTTATCATTTTGGACTCATTTTTATTTATATATATATTGTAGCTTTAGAAATATTTTTGGATATATTTTGGTCCATATTGACATGACAGCATCACACAAATTTGTTGGCTGCACATCTGAGTCTCCTGTTCCTCCACATCCCAAAGATGCCATATTAGACTGAGATCTGGTGACTATGGAGGCCATTTGAGTTCAGTGTACTCACTTCCATATGCAAGAATCCAGTTTGAGATGATTTGAGTTTGCGATGAGATACATCATCCTCCTGAGACATGCTTTAATGCCATTCACACCTCATTCTGAACATCATCTGAATGTTGCAGCAGAAATTGAGGCCTATCAGAAAGGCAACATTTTCCAGTCTTGTTCAGTTTTAGTGAACATGAACTGTAGCCTCAGTTTGCTGTTCTTAGCTGAAAGAAGTAGCAAGCAGTGTGGTCTTCTGCTGCTGTAGGTCAGCTGCTGCAAGTTTTGTGAATATTCGCTGGTTGAATGTTGTTGAATCAAACTAAATATTTTTATAAGCCTTCACTGGCTGTGTGGTGGAAATAACCCACAGTCATCAGTTTGTAACACCAGTGTTATTTTACAGTCTTAACAGATTACAGGACTCAATTTCCTGGAGTTTTTCTATTTGGTCAGACTTGAATTTTTTACATATGATAAGAAATTTTACATTTAAACAAGTCTATAGAAACAATGTTTAAAAATAACAAAAAAACATTTGGTCTACATCACGGCCGTGAGTTGCCTTATCAAGCAGGATTTAATCAGTTAAGCTTGTGTCTGTTTGAGAAATGCACCTGACTGTTAATTCAAATTATTTACTTGCAAAGCAAACATGTTTCATGGACTAGTTTACACACAGTTTTATTATAAATTCACACTTTGAACATCACTTATTTAAGAAAAAAAATGGCAAAAACTTTCAGTTTTAAACTGAACCACCAAAACTCCACATGATGGGGCGACTTAACTAATTTCAATGTATTCACATATTCTGATCATATTAGAGTTTTTCCTGTTAGTAATGAGATTTCTGACAATGCACTGAAATTCTTAAGGGATTTTTTTTAAAGGAACAAAATAAATGTATTAGAAGCAGGCTGTTATACAGTATCTAAGCAGATAAAATAATGCTTGCTCAGATCTAAAGTACTGCAGATGTTAAAGAGGATACCACTATTTAGAAATGTCGTCTTTATTTATTTTTCTTCTTTTTATTTTGGGCAACATATACGCAAGTATTAGTAAGTCTGTGACCAGCCAACAAGATCATGACAAAGCAGCTGGTAAAGTCAAAAGTGAGACTGACCAATTTTTTTTTATTAGTATTATTATTTTTTTTAATAACATTGTGTATGTGATTCAGAATGTAAGTATGTTCCTCAAAACACACAGTCACGATCCCTACTCTTCTTTTTCCTCTGGGTTGTCTCTCCATATGCAGTAGTTGAGGCTGGTTGCAAGGCACAGCCAGCCCAGATAGGGTGCCAAGAGCATCGTGGCGGTGCGGCTGATGGGATACCAGGACATCATGGTGGCTCCGACAGTCCCCGTGAGAAGCACAATCTCAACGAGGGACTAAAAAGAACAGAAAGAGGGCATGTCAGTGATAGCGATGTATACAACTACGCTGCCATAACCCTAATTATTGGTGTCCAAATAAAAAAAGTACAGTTTTAAGGTGTTAAATTTACCCATTTCAGCTTGTGTGCACCAAAGAAAATGGGAGTCCAGGCCCAATTCAGAGCTAGCTGTGTCCCATAAAGCCCGAGTGGAACTAGTGCATCATCAGTAAAACCTCCAAGCTCCTTCCACACCAGGTATGAACCATAGCTGGAAGAGAAAGACAAAAACAATTCACACGAGATCATTAAGATAAGGAGGTTGCTTCACAGATAATGCAGAAATCAGTCACAATGTGCTTACCCCATGCCTGTGTACAGACACGTCCACACTACGGGGAATGCTTTGTTTGGTGGGCGCCATGATGGTTTCTTCAGGGTTGGGTACCAGGTATCTACCTCTTTGCGTGTAAGATAACCACCGTAGAGCCCTCCCAGGTGTGGCAGGGCAGTGAACCCAGCTATTTGCAGCCACATTTTCTGAGATAAGAAAAAGACAGCCGTTTAACTTCCACTAAGGGTGGATATTCATAGGTATAAGTAGCAAATTTTTCTGCCTAATGCGTCTGCTGTCCCATGACTGACTAAACAGGATTTGCAGTAACAAAAAACGTGAGGATTTTGCTATGCGGACATCCCCGATCAGTTTAGTTTAAGACTTCTTTTTCTTTTTAAACCAGTTTTTTAAATTTTAAGGCAGGCATCGGGCATATGTCAATTTCTCTGTTAAAAATTACATTTAATAACTAACAGAAGCATGGCATCATTCAATTTGTGCAGACCAAATGGCCAGCCCTGTTACAGTTCAGCACAATAATAAAAACTCACACCACATAAATAAAAGCTTATACTTCATAACCAACCAAAATGGCTTCAACACATTAAAGACATGCTACATATTTAAGAGTCAATACATCATTACACAACTGACGTTAAATCAAAATACCACTGCTGTAAAGACCACTTTAAATCCTTAGCCAAAGCAACTATCAACTAACATTACAAGGTTGAACCATTTCAGCTTAATTACACCCCAGAGAGTTAACCAAACATACTCCATATTCACACTGGGCTCTTTGCACTCATTAGCCTCAGAAATACAAACTGTGGGCTTTTTTTTTTTAAGGTAGCATTCCAGTTTTTAATCAGTTACCAATGCATGGAAATGGCTCAAACAGTTTGTGCACTGTTACAGAGTATTTGCTGGCCAGAAATAACAGGTCTTAAGGGGGATACATGTAAACAAGATTTACCTTGATACAGTTAAGGTTAATAGTCTGTGTTACCTTTACTGCTATTTTTAACCATCATTTAAGAATTAAAAATGTATGTACTCAAGCTTAAATATACAAGTAAACGTATTCCTTTCCCTTAACATAATCCCAAAACCTTTTTATGTTAATAAGCAGGAAAAGAACAATACCCGCATGAGTCTAATGTCGCTTTCATTTTCTTTCTTACAGCAACGTTACAAAAACACGTGCCTTTTACTATAAATTTAAGCACGTTTGCTGTTGTTCTAGCGCAGCAGTGAAACATGCTAAGTTAACGCTAATTAATTTTTCTTTTTCGTGTTCGTGCTCCCAAACATTACGTGCGCTGACTTTCTGAAGTCACGCCGAGCTTCAGTGACTCTAGGTCAGGGGTCTGCAACCTTTAACACCCAAAGAGCCATTTGGACGCGATTTCCATGCAAAAGAAAACACTGGGAGCCGCAAATACTTTTTGACATGAAGATAACACTGTATACATTGTTTGTTT